TTCTCAGCCACGGCAGGCATCAACTGGTCCGTAGAGAACGCCGCATTATACAACGCCCAAGCGAACTACACCAATGTTCTCTACCACCTACACGTGCCAGGAGCCGAAGCAGCCGAACAGTACGCAGATCGCCGCGTGAACATTTACCCTGCTAAAGACTGTTACAACGCGGACCCGAACAGCGACGCCACCATGCCACCACTACTTCCCTGGTATGGCTACGACTGCGTCAGTGACAGAGATGGAAACTGCGGCACGATCGAGTATGATGTCCGCAGCTTCTACCTCCTACCAGGCACAAGGGAAAGGGATCAGTCAGGCCGTTGTTTATTGTCTGCGAAATGGGGTGCTGCCTCGAGTATTTACTCGTCTTCTCGTGTCATTTTAGGCGCCGCTTTGAGCGCGTCTCTGGCCATCTGGTATGCCTGGTAGTCATGATAGTCCTGTGTTAGTTTTGTACTTGACAAGCAGTCGCCTACATGAACGCCTTTCGTTGAAATGTAGATCGTATCTAAAACTATTTATACCTGTACATGGACTATGGAATGTGTTCCAAACTATATCACATGTTTGCCGACGCTACCGTCACTAGCCACCTCGTTAACAATACCACTTTTGAGTGTATCATCCTACCTTCTTCTTTCTCATCCTCTCCTTCCTCATGTATTGCCACACCCAACGACACGCAGTGTAAAACCCACACCTAGACCATCATGATAGGACCCCAAGATCTCATGAAATGCAGCGCCCCCGTACTCCGCAAGCACTGCATCAGCCAGCGAGCGACACCGCAGAGCCACATAGGCAGACAAGGGAGCACAGAACAGGACAAGCAAAGCAAACAGCACGGAGAAGATCGAACTGTGCGCAACTCCCGCAACTTCAACGCTCTCGTGAGACAAAGTGATGCTTAGAAGACAAACGAATAGTGACAATAGAGGAAGCGGGACCATGACTGACACCATCTGAATGGACGGCCCAACAAGGTGCGCTCCACACTGTGACTACCCGACGTAACTGGAAAGTCACTATCGCCTCATGTGTACTGAAGATGGTGGGGCCCGCCCTTCCACGACCTCAGTGCAGAAGCGGCATGCCTTCAGCATGACAATATGATGTGGTCGGCGAAGCTGGTCTCGCCGCCCACATATACCAGAAACGTTCCAAGACACCATGTCTCACCTAGCAAGCACGCGAGCGAGGTTATCGGAGTGAGCAGCCACAAATATCATACCAAGTGCTACAGCCATCACATTCAGCGATCCCTCAATACACCAAGCTACACCCCCACACGTCTCATGCCCTGACCCCCTCCATCTCGAAACCACACCCGGAGGCAACATGCCCTCACCTCCTCCCACCACCAATATCCTGGCCCAACCTATACCCACTAATCTTCTCCCACTCAATCTTCTGCCTCGTAATCGGCAACTGCCTCCTGAGCGCCTTGAATGCGCCCTCACTCAGACTACCAAACGCCCTGTTCAGATCCTCCTGATACTTCTTCTCCTCGGCCGCAATCTTCCTCACAATCTCACTTCCATTCGCACTGGCGCCCGCACTGAGACTGACCTCCTTGGTCGTAAGCAGACGCACGTTGCCGTCTTCGTAGTAGTGCACGTCTACTTTTATGCTGCCGGTGATGGAGCCGGAGGACGTGTCGTAGATGTAGGAGCTGCGCCAGCGGCCGTTCCAGTAGTTTGTAGGGGAGTACTTGTTTGCGACCGTGATGATGGCGAGGGAGGAGGGGGAGGAGGGCACGGGGTATACGCCGTGAGAGGACTTGGGGTAGTGTTCTGAGGCGTGGGTGCTGAGGGACTTGTTTAGGCTCTTGCTGTTGGGGTGAGGTTAGGTTAAGCTTTTATGCGGCATGGGTGTGTTGGTAGCCAATGGGTGTGCACGAGGGATGCGCGCGGGATTGGCTTGGCGAGGGAGGGGCGGGGCGGAACGTACAGGAGCTCTTCTTGTGCGCTTTCTACAACGTAGCTCTGCACTGCGCTGGCTTTGCCCGTGGCGTGGTCAAAATCAAAGGAGCTTTGTGTGTCGATGTCGTAGTACCGGCCGTCGCCTAATGAGTTGTACTGGCTGACTAGGACCTCGGTGCTGCCGCCGGGGAGCTTCGTGGTGGTGAATTGCTCCTCGTTGTACTTTTGGAAGGCAGGCGAGAGCTCATTTTGGACGGCGTCGTCGCCGAGGATTGACTTGATTGCCTTGGTGACATCGGCGAGCTGTGTTGTTGTTAGCAGGTGTACCGGTGGGAGGGGAGCTCTGTTTTGGTGGGGGAAGTACCTCGCCAGGCGGCGCGCTGTCGATGAAGGAGGAGAGAGCTGCTGTGCGTGACATAGCGACGATTTGGCTATGTAGCAGGGGGCGGGTATGCTTCTGTGGTTGTCTCAATTGTTTGGCGCGTCGTGGAGTTGCGGGCGGACGTCGAGGCGCGCAGCCGCTTAGTGGGGCAAGGGCCAGCAGGGCGAACAGGGGTCAAACATCCATGTGCCCATAGTCGATTGCGGAGGAAGCTACGTCAACATCCCAGTGCACGCGGACGATGTTCGCAGTTCTTGTTTCATATTGAATTTGGAAATTGACAATGGGTATCTATATATATCGAACAACCATCGTTGGCCTCATTAACCCTGGAACGCCGCGCTAAGCTCTTCATCAATGCTAACAATATCCTACAAGATGTCATATATGGCCATCACTCGATGCTCATCTTCATCAAGCCGTCGTTGGTATCTGTCATGCCCTGCAGACCTATCCGCTTTGGGCCCAGTGTCGGCGTCATGCTCATGCTGCCTCCACTGTTTGAACGCTCACCGTGTGACTGACCGCTGATCGATGTCTCCCGACTGGCTTTGGGATTCGTGCCCCAAAGACTGCTGTCCCTCTGTGCCGGCGACTGCGAGATGACTGGGCTGTTGTGAACACTGAGGCCTGGGGAGACAGCACGCCGTTTGATCGAAGCTTCGTCAAAGTCGTCGTCTCGTCGGCGTTTGTTCGACTTCTTCAACGCCTCAGCCGCTGTGGGAGGCTGCATTGGACCTGGTGTAGATGCTCGTGATGCTCCACCATTCATAGAGGGCGAGTCCATGTTCATGTCCTCGCTCATTGCGGATGACTCTGCGCGAGGGAAGGATGGCGGTGGAGTATGTGCGGCGCGTTGGTTCCAGAATCCGTTGCTTATCGAGTTGCGACCACTGTGAAGACTACCAAATGCACCGAAAAGTCCCTTAGACGTTGATCCGTCCAGACTCATGTTACTCTCGCTGCCCTCTTCCGGCACACCCTCGAGCGGACCGTCCAGCCCGGGTACTGTGGGTAGTAGATTGGGCGATGATTGTGCGGTATTAGAGGGCCGCTCCAGATCCGTGTCGCTCTCTCTCACTTGTCGGATGATCTCGGCTTCGCGGCGGAACTCGCTATCAACAGGTGCGGCTTCTTCGAAGAGCTCCGCTCGGATACGACCGAATTGCCTCGATTTGGGCTAGTGAAGTTAGCATCTGATGTCTGCGTGACAACGGAAGTACATACCAGTAGATTGCCTCTCCGTGTGACAACCCGCCTCACCACACCTGGAGTCTGGGGCAGATTACCGCCCTCATCTCCGCTGTCATTACCAGACGAGATGTGAAGGTCGTTGGCAAAGAGCGACAGGCTCTCTCGTCGCGATCCCGCTTTCCGCATAGCCGCTTCTCGCGCAAAGTAACCAGTGTCTTTGCCGTTTGGCGGCGATGCTGGCCCAGGGCTTGCCATGGAGCTGTGTCCGCTGGCCGAGCTGGAGCTCTTCCGGCTGCGACCCTTGCGCAACCTTGCCCTATGCATGCTCGCAAAGTTGGGCTGTCCACCAGGCGAGAACAAGTTCGACCAGGCGTTACCGGTATTGAGTCCTGGGAAGAGAGTGTTGGTCTTCGCCTGCGGGGTCATGATCATGGGGTCGTCGTTGTCCTCAGGGTCCAGTGGGTCCACCTCGTCCGAAGAGCTACTAGAGTCCTCCGAGCCCATCATGTTGATGCTGCCGACTGAACTGGACGGGGCGGTCCTATCGCCATGGCTCCAGCCTCCTTGCATGCTCACATTGGGCGAGTCGAGCAGCATCGAGTTGGAGCGAGGCTTCCGCGGCGGTATCTTGATGCCCTTTTGCGTGATGGTCGGCGAGGAATCTGGCGAGGATTGGTCGGGGAGGGTCGAGTGGTGGAGGTTGGTGCAGGCTCTCGAGAACTCGGCACCGCGCGACCGTCGGGGCAGCACAGAGGCAGGCGACGCGTAGGTGTTGCGCGAATCTAGCTGGGGCGAGAGGGGCACACGGGCAGCGAAGTGGGCGGGACTGGGCATGGGCGACTCTCGCGCAGGCATTTGCAGCGACAGGCCTCGCGAGAGGAAGTCGGGTCGACGCGGTGTGCTGGGGCTGGCGACGATGGTCTGATCATCTTTGGACATGCGAGCGGGTTCGCGGAATTTCGGGGAGGGCTCAAGACGGGGCGTGCTGTCCGAGAGCGACCGTGCTTTGGGCGAATTCGTCTTTGACGGCGTTGTCGCCAGTTGAGGTTGCGACTCCATCATGCCTCCCTCGCCCTGTTCGGCGGTACTGCGCTCGCTACCGATGTCTGGCGTCATCGTCAACATTGAGGTGGAAGGTTGATAGGACAGGAAGCGACCTGAAACGCATTCTCTCAGCAACGCGCTGTGATCAGAGTCAATTTGTCGGGACTGGTGAATGGCCCGTCCGTTGAACGTCAATGTCACGAAGCGGGGCCTCTCGTCACGTGCAAGCCACCGTCATGGGTGAACCATGCTGTGAGGCTCTACCTACAACCGCGCCCTTCAAATATCTCTGAAATTGAAACTTTTGTAGCACAGGCTGTTTGCGTCAACTGTAGTACTATACGAAACGTATTGACAACTTCCATACGCCTTCGGTATGATGTTGATCATGACGCGTAGGTCACCCATAGATCACCCGTGCCTTCGTACCCCTGAACACTCTTTTCATGCTATTGCTAAGAGTCCACAATTCCTTGCACCCACTCAATGTCCTCCCAAGTTGCTTCCCAGATGTTGAGGACTGTCATTGTCCATTCCTTATCCTCGCGCTTCATGGTGCCAATGCAGCGGCAGATCCGCCCTTGCTGTAACAGTCTTCTACTGTCGTACTCGAAGAGCTGCACCGACTTCCAGATAGCAGCATTATACACTGCCTTGATGTAAGGTGGCTTGGCATGGAAGAGGTCGCAGAAGGTGAACTGCTGCTCTGTACTAGTCCGCTCAGAAGCAAGCACCCTGGCATACATCTCAATCATGATGTGCTTCCCTGATTTGGATGCCTGACAGCTTTGGTTAATCACTTCACCGATACGGAAACATGTCCTGAGCAGTAGGTTTGACGAAAGACCGATGATGGGTGAGCGATCACGGACAGCCTCTGGAAATGGTGGCCTGACAAATGGTTTGCGTATCTTGAATGAACCTAGATCGCCAGTTGCGGCTTGCAGGCGCGTCGTGAGAGTGACCGGGGAAGTGAATTGCTTTGACACGGGCTGACAGGTCTTCTTGTCAGGACTTCCATCGAGTATGATAGGGGCATCCGCACAGGTGCCGGGAGGGTGACGCAGTCTGTCATCGTCCCTGTCCCCGGGCTGCACAGAGCGGTTCAAAGCAGCATTTGCAAGGTCAGGACATGCGTCGTCAATCTCGGATGTCAATGTGAGCAGGTCATCATCGTTGATGTCAAAGTCGAAGTCATCTTGCGCAAGCATCGAGTTCTCAATCTGATGTGGTGCCAGGGAAGCATTAAGTTGTTCAGGTTCACTGGTATCAAAGTCGTTATCGTCGAAATCAAACCCGCAGAGCGCGGTCGGATGCTGCACAGGCAATGTAGCTACTGTATCCTGGCTAACATTTCGTATGGTTTCAGGACTCGCGAAACCATGATCTGTCACATTGCAGGCTTGACTGATACGGTCCTGGTGTGAAACCGCCGTTCCGTTGCCGGTTGTTGTCGATCGTTGGGTTTGCGCATCGTCAACAAATATGGACTGCGTTCTCGTCGACAGCCGAGCCTTGGGTCTAGAGGTCGCGGAATTGCGTGTAGATTTTGTTGCCCGAAAGCTCTCCGATACTCGATGTTGTTCTGGGAGCCCGTTTCCTTCCAGATTCACGCGTCTGCCATCTGGTTTGTTCCCTTGAGCGGCCAACCGAGGTCGCTTGCGTCGAGGTTTCGGAGGCGGGCTACTCGGTACTGCCGGCGAAGGAGCATATATTTCCAGATGCGTCGGCTCTTCTGCGCCACCAAGACCGAGATACCGTGCAACAGTAGAGTTGTGTCGCCTTCGGTCGTTGACGGCGGCTCTCCGCCGGGCCTGGTTCTGCTGCACGGGTGCCGCGGTTGACGGGGGAGGCGTCGAACACTGCGTCGAGGGCTGATTGATGGCCGTGAAACTAGAAGTTGACGAGCGAATGTGAGTGCATCTGCATACTTCAGGTTAGTTCAAGCGATATGAGATAAAAGCAACGTGTGGTGAGAAAAGGTGAGTGAGCACGCGTCGGGTCTCTCACGCGTAATCACCAGTTCGTTCTCTCGTTGTCCCCGTGTCCCCATCGTGATGCAGCGCGTTCGATGCATCCATGCTGACTCTATGCGTGAAGCGACACGATTTGGAAGCGGAGTGAGAGATGAGGTGAAGAGGGTTGGTGTGGTGGGTCGCGACTTCCATAGTCCCTTACTCAGCCCAAAGCCACCCCACTGCGGGGAGCTTGCGCCCGACCAAGCAACCATAGCTTCATCTTATCGCGTGCGCATAGGCAACCATTACTACTTAGACTTCCGCTACGAAGCTCTGCCACCAGCTCTGACTTTCTGCAAACTTTGCACCACTCATCAACATATGTTCCGTTGAACCCTGAGTGTTCTATTCTTATCTGTAACACCGGCTCTCTCCTTCCAGACCGACCCTCCGACCTTTCTCAGACCGTGGTGCAGACACCAGACCCTGATTCTGTCCAGATTCATTCTGACAGCCAAGCAAACATCCTGTTCGGGGCGCTTTCTTTTTCTCGCCTCCCAAATATAGCAGGTCTTACCCTGAAGGGTCAAACGAAGCGACAAACGTACGATGCCTGTAAGTTCTTCTTCAGACTCGTTTCTCCTTAAGAGCGTTCAAATACCATGTTCTCTTCCGCAGCAGCCCCGTTCCATTCGTCCTTCAAACCACCGTTCCTACCATAGTTATGATTTCTCACGCTTCTTGGTATGACGGACAACCCCTTCTCTACGGAGAGACGCTTCGTAGAACTTCTTCTTCGTATAGCAGTGCATCTTCTGAACTGCAAGCACTTCCTTTGTACCGCAAAAGTCTGTCATTGTCAAGCGAGCCGTCAATCGAGGCGTCAATCGAACCCCCTCGCAAAACACTTCATCACCACAAGGATCCCAAAGCATACGCGGACCTTCCGATATTCGAAAATCCCTGCCCGCTATGCTTCTTTGAACACTGTCACACGGTACTAAGAACATGGATCAAACGTAGAAGCACGCTTTCTCGGCTGTCACGGTCCAAATCGATCGTTTGACGAGTGAGCAATACGAGGAGAATGTAAGTCACCTCATCAAATCGCACATCTCATGCTGATCAAAACAGGATGTCGGTGGTGTCGTTGATCTCATCGAGGTCATCCGCATTCAGGCATCTGGTCCTACGGAAGCAGCACGAGCTCTGCGAAAGAAGCTGTAAGCCAGATTCTCACACATCCACAACATGAGCTAATAGTTTCGCAGCAAGTATGGAAATGTACATCGCCAGATTCGCGCCCTTGTCATAATGGACGCTCTGATTCAGAATGCTGGAACTAGATTCCAGAAAGCGTTTGCAGATGAGCCACTTCTTGAGCGACTCCGTATCCTGGCCAGGGACGACACAGTCGATGCGGAAGTACGGCAGAAGGCCAACATTTTGTTCCGAAGCTGGGCTGTCGCATACAAGGGAACGCCTGGCCTGGAGCGGATAGCAGCACTACACAAAGAACTTCCCCGTACCAAGCGCCCGCAGCCGCAACAATCTCGGATCGTGCGACAACAGGACGCTGAAGCTGCACGTGAGCGCGAGGAGCACTCGCAATCTCCTCCTAGAAGCAGGCGACCGGAGCCACCCCACACGTCTTCTTCACGAACCACCACACCCGTTGTCCTCGGTGCCGGTACCCCTCTTCCAACAACCTCACTTTTCAAAAGGGATAAGAAGGACAAGAAGAAGACTAAGGGCCAGCCGTTCAACCTCGAGAAGGAGAAGGGCCAGATGCTTGAGACAATGGCATCGGCAAATGTCGCCAGTACGAACCTACTGAATGGCCTGCAACTCATCAACCGAGAGCAACAGCGTGTCAGCGAGAACGCGGAAGTTATGCGACGTTTCGAGACGTGCAAGCAACTGCGTCGCCAGATCTTGCGCTACATTCACTTGGTCGAGTCTGAGCAGTACATCGGTGGTCTTCTCAACGCCAACGACGAGCTAGTCAAGGGTCTCATGGCATTCGAGCTCATGGACAAGAGCATCGATGATGACAGTGATAGTGATAACGAGGAGGGCAACGTATCAGCCGCTGAAGCAGCGATGGCGAATATGGGTATCAATGAGTCTGCCCCTCCGAAGCCGCCTAGGCCCACGAGCATCCCCATGCCTCCGCAGCGCGTCGAGCCAGACAGTGAGCCAGAGGAGGATGAGGATGACCCGTTCGGAGACAGTAATGGTAAGACTACTGCAAACATCTCTTTCTCCCCTAGCTAACACGCCACAGCCGTCAAAACACCATTCGCAGAGAAGGGCCAACCGACTTGGAGAGACGTCTAAGCTATCAAAGACACGATACGGACACGACCTGCATGTTCAAGGCGAGACACGGTATTGGGCTTTCCTCATCTCATGTTCAGCAATACCCTTTCCTACCGTTTCACTATCTACATAGATCTCAATCCAACATTTCCACACCATCTGCCATGCATTTCCATCTTCTGCATGCCCCGCGCGCGCCTCTGACCGAACGCGCGGCATTAGCCACGTTCACTGCCACGCGGGCGACGTCATGCAGCCCCTAGCGTCGGCCTGTCATTGGCCTAGCGCCACGCGCAGCATTGAAGCAGGGCTGGATGCCCTCTGCGACCGTATTAATCTCCCCTTTGCCTCCTCGATACCACTGTCTATTATCCCGCTACAACCCTCACCTTTCACGCACCTTCATCGCATAAACTGTGAGTCCAGCCCTGATCTCGTGGCTGCGAACACCGCTAACGTTATCGCAGCGCAACTCCGTCATCTCTCTGAACCAACAGTCACGAACCCGCGACCGTCAACCTCCGAGTCATAACACGTCGTAAACTCACTCGATCTTCGCATATTCATACCTCGCAATGCCTGCCTCTACCAACTCTGTCTCTTCGGCCGCCGGCTCGATCGTTAAGCCTCAGGGCGGAAAGTGCAGCTGCATCAGCACCGACGACTGCAGTTGCTGCTGCATTCCTTGCACCGTCATGTAAACGCGACGACGATATCAAGAGCCGGGTACGGCTTCGATGGACGATAGCATGTGCGCGTGCGGGAGCGGTGACGGATGGCACGCGCGAGCCGATAGGCACCATAAGGGAAGGATGGCTGGCATGGGTGGTTTTGGGATATTTTCAGCGACCTCATCAGGTATAGCGAAAGCGATAACACGCGCTTAAGGCACTGCGGCTCTGAGAGCTTTGATCTGGGGTTTGGAGTCTTCTGGAGTGTTGCATTGGATTGATGGCTTTATACCAATACCTACATTTCGAATTACAAACTACGTTCACACTTAAAACCTTGATCTGCCCAGCAATTATGACTCTACTGTCGATCGATTTGTCTTTCCACTTTGGCAGCACATTAATATCCTACACATGCTTCATGGCAAGATACACGAGCACCAACGCCAAGCAGTCGCTTCTGAAGCTAGTCCGGCAGCCAGGCAAGCAGGGCTGAAGCATGGCAGTTGTGGCGCGCTGGCGCGATGACATGGCGTCACCTAAGTACGCGAAGCCTATTGCCTTGTAAACCTCATCTCTGACATCTTAACCCCATTCTCACCGTCGCAAACTTCTCCAGATCATATCTTTTCTTGTTGTACATATCGCGTTCTACTTGTAAGTCGGATTGCCATGGTTTGATGCATACGTTCGCTAATGGGTCTGATAGTGCTTGAGACGTCATCCCCCCTTGCGCGCATCGAATCCTTCGTCTCCGCCCTTACGACTCCATTCGGTATCGCCTCGTCGCGCATCGCATCGCATTTATCCGCCGCGCAGTCTTCGCCGTAATCAGCAAAGATGCCCGCGTCTACAACTTCGAGCACGACGTCTATCGTCAAGCCTGGTCCCGTCAAGGCGCCATGCTGGTGCGGTGATGATTGCCAGTGCTGCGTCATTCCATGCACCGTCATGTAGTAGAAGTCGGCGACGAAGAGACGAAGAGGGATGGAAATATACCAGGACACGTTAGGAGTTATTTTGATTGGATATACTGTCTGAGCATGCGTTTGGGAAAGAGCTGGATAAGAGGAGGAATGTGACGAGGCACGAATCACGCATCGCATTGCTTGGTATCTATTGAGCATCTTAGCGTTACGTGCTGTTATGAAGTCTATGATATTCTCACATGCACTAAGCCCTTCTCGCAGAACTTTCGCTTTGCCAGGCATAGCAGAATCGACTCTCTTCCCCTACTAGGAAGCTGGCAACCCTATCGCGTATTCACTACTAACTACACGCTATTTCTGATATGTCGCATTTAACCACAAACTTTCTCTATTCGCTCGCATCTGTGGTAGTCACACTCCTCGATCCACCCGACGGACCTAGTCAATCATAATCGCCATGGACTTTGCATGAACCTCGCTTTCGTCAGATCACTTTTATTTACTTACACTAGTCGGTGTGAATGGAAAGAACCAATTTGATCGAGATGATCAAAGGATAGGTTGAAAGAGTTGGTGACAGAACACGACATGTGAGGCGAAAGGAAGCGCACATTGCAGAGCATGCGAAATGAAGCAGTTGAGACGCGCTGGGAGAGAAGACATCATGAACGCACTGCTTCACCCCCCGTTGGGTTGCCAACCTGTATTCGCGTCACACGGTGAGTTCTGGCCCCCAAATCTTGAGGCGCAGCGAGGCAGATTTCTTTTCTGTACCACATGGAACTTGATAAGGTGGCAGCACAGCCGCACCTTCATGTAATGAACGGTTAAAATATCTCCTCTGTGCGCTTACTCCCCACGAAGTTCAGCACGAGAGGAATATCAAGTCTATCGCAATGGCTGCATCTGCGAGCTACGAGAAGGAGCCCCTCAAAACGCTGACACGGGAATCATCACCAGCACGAACACCAAACTTCGAACAAAATCTACCATCACAGTCATCATGCACTCTACCGCGTCCTCCGTCTCCTAGCAAAACAACCAGTAAACCACGGCATCCTCGGGTTCGTCGCAACAGACCACGCACTTTCTGGAACATACGCAACACGACAGATATGCTCATGTGCGTCATTTGCATCCCATTCGCTTGGGTTACCTACCTCTTCACACTCC